TCCATCCATCCATCCATCCATCCATCCATCCATCCATCCATCCATCATCCATGCATCCATCCATCATCCGTCCATCCATCCGTCCATCATCCATCCATTCTTCTATCTGTCTATCCATCCAACCATCCATCAGTCCGTCCGTCCATCCATCCTTCCATCTATCCATCCATCCATCATCCATCCATCCATCCCACAAACACTTACAGAACACACTTCTATGCTGGGTATGGGGTTCTACCTTTCCAAGAAAATAAAGCCAAAAGCATCAATTAAATATAGATCACCTCAAACGTATTTTGGGGGAGAGGGAACGTCACTGGCATTTTGAATTGTGTAATTTCTCTGTAAAGAGTCAATTAGTGAAGGATCTATTCTCATGAGGAGTTATCCCTCAAAACATTCAATGACAAAATATTATTAAAAATTGGGGCAACTGATTTTACCCTCAGAAAAAGTCTCATTTTAACCCAGTCAAGTGTCTGAGGCAGGACAACCCTGTGTGTCCCCATGGTGGACGGTGTGAGGAAGATCCCTCCACAGGCAGCCACTCTTCCAGGCAGGCGCCCTCCTCCCCTGTGGGGTCTGCTGTGACGTCCTCCACTGGCCAGGCGCACACGAAGGGGAGGTCAGCTGTTGTGATTCCCCAGGTCGTACTCCTGGAGAGCTCCTCCCCGGGCAGCCCCGGGGCAGTGGCGCACGCAGTCTCTCCCTTCGTGATTCGTCTCTTTGCGGATGTCAGAGAAAGACTCGCTGTGGCTTATCACAACAGCACGTGGCACGTGCTTGCCGGGTGGTTCCACACACATGGGAGAGAGGCCAGAAAGCCTGTAGATAAAGGGGGGGCTCATGGTACCCAAAATGGTGATTCAATAATGACTGTAATTAAGCATTGCGTTTAGCTCTGAACTTCCTGGAAGCGTGGACAGGGAAACAATGGTTTACGTGGCTGCTGTTCTCTGATAAAGTGAAGCTTATCAGTTCCCCAGGAGGGGGATGAGCCTTTTCCCAGCACGGGACTCCAGAGTCTTTATCAGGTGCATCTTGAAGCAAGGCCGCTGAGACCTCGAATGGACGAGGTTTCCTCCGTGCAACAGCAGGATATGGCTCCTCAGACACTGACGATGGCTCCCACTATTAGCGTCCCGAGGCTGCCATACAGGGTTCCACACACTGGTGACGGAGAACACCAGGAAGGCACTCTCTCACAGTTCTGAAGACCAGAGTCTGAAGTCACGGCATCGGCAGGGCCGTGCTCCCTCCGAAGACTCGAGGGGACATCCATTCCTTGCTTTTCCAGCTTCTGGAGGCCCCAGGCATTCCTTGGCTGTGTCTCCATGACCCCAGTCTCTGCCTCCGTCATCACAGGGCCTCCTCCTCCACGTGTCTGTGTCTCCTCCTCTGTCTTTATAGGGACACTCGTCATTGGATTTAGGGCCCACCTGGGCAACTGAGGCCAAGCTTATCTAGAGATCCTAACCTAATTGCAGCTGCAAAGACTCTTTTTCTGAATAAGGTCACATTCACAGGTTCTGGAGGTCAGGAGGTGGACACACTTTTTTTTTTGGCAGAGGGGGGGTTACCAGTCAACGCACTGCATTCCTCCAAGAGATCACTCTGATCTTCCCTCCCTGAAGGAGAGGGTGGAGCACAGAGCTGTGTTCCTGGGACCTCCTGCCTGGAGGAGAAGTTATTTTTGGTGAGTTGTAAGTGTTTGCTTCAGGACAAGTGGCTGCTCTCACCCTCCTTCCGACATGCCCAGAGAAGCAGAAAGGTCTCTTATCTGAAGTGGGAAGAGGGCTGACTGAGTCACGGGTTGCAGAGACAGCAGTGGGAGGTTAGGGGGCAGCGGTCAGGATTCTGCTAGGTTGGACCTGTGTCTGTCCAGGACCTGCCGTGTACTCATTGTGCTGCCCTAACCTCTGGAAGCCTGGCTTTCCTGGGCTGCAAGATGAGAAAGGACTTATCTCAAAGGGTCAAGTTAAACAGTGGAGGTGGAGGGCTGGTCAGTAGAATCCCAGATACACAGGCCAAGGGCGGACACCTCTTCCTGGAGCACCACTGGGCCTTGGAGGAGGTGGGAAGGAGGGCCGGTTCCCCAGGATCCCTGATGGGCACTGCTGTTACCGGGAGCTCCTGGGAGCCTCAACCACTGGAGACGGGTTCTATTCTGTGGTCATGCCCACGGTCTCCCACAGACGCCCCCCACTCTGCCGTCAGGGCGCCCTCACCCTGCACACCTGTCTGATTTGCTTGAACCCGTCCGGCTGCACGCTGGAGAAGATGTTGCACTCGGGCTGGGCGAGGATCTGGAAGGCCACGGCACAGTGGTGGTTCTCCAGGGGTGAGATGTCATTGTAGCGGACGGCCAGCTCTGTGCGGGCGTTGATCTGGTACCTGGATCAAAGGAGGAGAGAGCAAAGGAGGCCTCAGGAGCCTGCGCTGGGAGGACCTGTACATCAGGCAACATGGCCGACGTGTCTAAGGAAGCAGTGCCTGGGGCAGCTGGAAGGCAAGTGTGATGGGGCTGGGAGCTCAATTCTCCTGGCTCTCCTGACGATGCTGTCCCTGTAATAGACACCCCCAAGTTGTCATAGAATTACTGAATAGACACCACCAATAAACCTCAATTTCTCCCATTACAGGGCCCTGAAGACACTCAGCGCTTCTTTACGGCACCTTGCAAAAATTTTCAATATGTGCAAAAGGCAGACACTTGAGAGAAGACTCAGGCTGTATTTGCACGTTTGATGCTGTGGTTAGGGCCCCTCTGCTGACCCCCACTTTGTACATCATTGCGAGTGTGAACTGGAACGAACGCCCATGTGGAAGCACGACTTCCATACCTTGGAATCCGCTCCAGTCCCGACAATGATGGCAAAGTCCTCATGCATATCTGATGTCATCATACAGACAATAAAATTTGATATGCAAATACACAAATTTGGTAGAAAAAACCAATGTGTCACTAGGAACGCAAAACCAATGCCACTCGGCCGGGACTTTGCCAGTATGTAGGGTGGAACTCTGAGCCTTCGCCCCCAGCCCCCCAGAGGCAGGAGTGGGACAATGTTCCAGTAAAGCTCGGCTCGTCCTCCTGGCCCCCATGGCCTGCCGTGGACCCCTCCCCACCTCCTGGTCCCCTGCACCCCTTCTCTAGCTCAGTTCTAGCCTTTGCCCCCTCTGCCTTGTTCCTGCTGGAAATAGGCTGGGGAAGCTGCCCGTGGGCGGAATAGATCCAGAGAGCAGGGTGTGGGGGCTGCCCGCCATCCCTGTCCACGTGCGGGCATCACTCCCCGTTCAGGGGGCAAGAGGTTCTGGTACCGCCAGGGCTCCGCCTGTGCAGATGCAGAGGCTGCAGCCAGGCCCGCAGAGGGGTGTGGCAGCCCCTCGGGGTTTGCCCACGGCCCTGGACAAAGCCCCAAAGTGGGGAGCTGTGACCTGCCAGGGTGGAGCCGGGGCCCGAGAGGCCTTTGCTGGGAGCTCCAGCTTGGAACTGGCCTGTGTGTTGAGCTGAACCAGACAGCCCTCCTAACAGGAGAGAAAATCATCTACGTACGTGTTGTTGTAGCCCGGATGATCCAGGTCGTGGCAGATGGCCGCTGTCATCAGGATCAAGAGATCCATCTGGGAAAATTTCTCCTGGATCAGAGAGAGGGTGGGATGGGGTGAGGAGCGGGCTGGGATGGGTGATGTGGACAGGATGAAGCCCCTCCCGCCGCTGGCCTGGGGGAGAGGACCCGCCCACTTGCTGGGGCGGGGTGAGGAGGGCCAGCCCGCACTTGTTCATTGACAAGGGTGGGGGTTGCGTCCCTGAGCCGAGGTGCTGCGCCCCCTGGACGAGGCTCCCGGAAGAGACCCACCTGGAGACCGCAGAGCCAGATCATGCTGTACATCATCTGGGCCACGCAGAAGCAATGCCGGAAGTTGTGGAAGGGGTTGTTCCTGTAGTTGTCGTGCACGCAGAGCTGTGAGAGAGAAGAGAGGGTCCCGACTGCCCGCCCTCCTCTCCAGCTGCCCGGGCACCTTCTCCCCGCATGGCCCGCTGGCTGCCGGCTGTTCCGATGCTCCCGCCCCAACCCTCGTCTGAACCAGAGCCAACAGATTTCCTCACCGAAGGTAAGGATGTCCCATGGGCCACACTGTGGACCTGGAGGGGCCGCTGTGGCGACAGACCTCCCTGGGGCTTTCCCCTGGACTCATGCACTGGGGTGTCCCCAGGGGAGCCACACGGGGACGTGAAGCTGGGGGAGGGCTGGGGGTTACACGAGGGGCTCTGGGTCCCCAGTCACCACCACACCTTTAATAGGCTTTTACTGTCTGGTTCTGAGCAATATTTTATTTAAAAAAAAAGATCTGCTGCTAAATACACACTCACACACATACCCTCTCCCCACATGCCCACACTCACACACTCATATACATACTCACACACACATACTCACACATACTCACAATGCACACTCACACATGCATACACATACACACTCATACACACATGCTCACACACTCTCACATCAGACACATAGACACTCACACATGCTCACACGTTCACATACACATACACACCCACACACTCACACGCATGCATACACTTGCACACACACACACCTATACACATACTCACACTTAGACAAACACGTTCACATACTCACCGCTGCTTTAGAACACACTGCTTTGCTTGTCCCTCCCTGGTTCTTACTACTTTCTCGCTCACCAAACACTGAAGAGTGTTTGGCGGAAGGAGAGACTGGCTGAATGTCCCTGCATTGCTCTCATGGAGATGTTGCCTCCGTTTGGAGGAAGCCCAGCGCCATCAGGAAGGCGCCACAGCCCATTCCCGTGTAACTCGGTGACACTGCGTCCGGGAGGCACGGGAGGGGCTGCTACTTACCAGCCACCTCCTGAGCGTGACGGGGTTGATGCTGAAGTCTCTGGCGAGGCCGAGGTCGTGGTACATGTGCTCCAAGCAGCTCAGCATCTGTGGGCACAGGAGAAGGGTGGCCAGCCTGGCCCCTCGCCGTCCGGGGGCTGCCTGTGGGGCAAGCCGGGCGGCTTCCCAGGCTCCAGGCCTGTCCTCAGAAGTAAGCCCTCCCCTCCTGGGGCCCCTGAGAGCGAAGCTGGTCGACTGGGGGGCTTCAGGATCCCCCAGGAGGGATGAGAGGGTTTGAAATGGCAGCTGGGTTTCAGAATTTCACGCGAGAAGGGACAGCGGCTGGATGAGAGGGAGCACCTCTTCCCAAATGACCACATCAGAAATGACCGCGTTCGTGTCTACACACGGCAAACAGTCTCAGCGGATCGACACCACAGTCCGAGGCCCTGGGACACAGTTCCATCTGACACAGACCTGAGAACAGTGCCTTCACAGACACAAAGGCCCTGAGCTTGCCTGAGCCTGGGGGATGAAGGACTTTGACGACTTACATCCCAAACACGCTTCATCATGCCCCTGGGGCCTGCTGGGGCCACACACACCTTCTGACGTGTTAACTGTAGTGTCCGAAGGGGAGCCTCGCTCTGGGCGAGTGTCCCCTCCCAGCCCTTATTTCACTGAGCTGTCTTCTACAGAAATCCCCACTCAAGTCGAAACAGATTTTGTTTCCAGTCCCAAAGACGATTTATTGTCACTGTTGCTATCTACTTAAATACAGCTCAGAGCTTTGGAGCCAATTAAGCTGGGGAAGAAAGATTACATGACTTTTTAAAAGGGAGAGTTTGACAGAGCAGGCCTTGCTTTCTGGGAAAGCAGATCTTGGGTGGAGAGCCCAGGGAGATGGGAGATCTGCAAAGTGGGGACAGTTTAGATGTCCCCTGGGGCACAGGGCATGACACCAGCCAGTGCTCCTTTGCCTGGGGCTGCACACCTGTGCCCTGCCTGTCACATCCTCACACCCACCAGCTGCCCCGGTGCCTGCACAGGCATGGCTGTCCCTGTTGGAGCCCCGCACGGCTGCTCATCTGCCTCTGTTCACCGCCGGACCTTCTCTAACCAAAAGGGCATGTTATGGACAGATCTGTGTTCCCCAAATCAATGTGTTGACCCCTGACCCCCACGTGACTGTGTTTGGAGAGAGGGCCTTGAAAGCGGTAAGTAAGGTTAAGTGAGGTCATAGGGCGGGCCCTAATCCCAGATGGCCTCCAGAACTGTGAGAAAATACGTTTCTGTTGCTTAAGCCCCCAGTCTGTGTATCTGTTACAGCAGCCCCAGAAACTAATACAGGGCGTGCTATGGAAAATGTTACATAACATATGAGAACAGAAAATCCTGCAAGTCAGGTGAATTTCTGCAAATCCAATCCTCTAACTGAAGCATCGAGGAGACGGCTATAGAAGGACCACCTGTGGGAGCAGAGACTTCTGTGGCATTGGAAAAATCCATTTTGAAAACTGGAAACTACCCCACATGCGGCCACATGTGGGAGCTTGGGAAGTCACGGATGGAATGTCCTTGAAGCTAACACACACTCATCTTCCTTGAGTGGACAGTACAGATGTAGACTGGGTAATGTACAGGGCACTGGGTTTGAAGACGATGGCCCTTATAGAGTGGTGGGAGTCCAGGGCCCCAGTGACGAGAGGCAGGCTGGTGTCCAGGCCTCTGGCCAGCTGCTGCCCGGATCACCCCAGCTTTGCCAGCAGCACGCATGCCCAGTCAGGGACCTCACTGTCCAGAGCCGCTGGTCCCGTCACCATCCTGGATGCTGGCCCTCAGGACCAGAGGGCTATAGCTTCAACATCCCTTGCTCCCTGCCCCACCAGCCCCTACGCCCATATGCCGCTCAAGGCGCTCTGACGAGCTGCAATGTTTGTTGTGAAATCAAAGTCAAGAGGCAGACGAAACCATCTGGTGCCACTTATGTGGCACACGTGTGGCTTTGGAGCAAAAGCAATGCATCTGTGCATCTGTCCCTGCACTGGCAGCCCCGGGGCTGGATGATGGTGGGGGGGGAGGACGCATGAGACAACGCAGGGGCCCCCACAGCCTTGAGCCTGGCGCTCAACAGAGGCGGCCACCGTGGCTCTTCCGCAGCCCTGGAAAGAGCTCTGATGGAGAGGCTGGCGAGGAATAAGAGAGAGCAGTGTGAAGTCATTTCCTTCCTCTGGTGATTGGGAGGATGCGGGGCTGGGCCCCTGGGTGATGCTCGGCACAGCGTCACCCCTGCTTGAAGGGAGAGGTGAACCAACACCAGCCTGACGTTCTCGGGGTGCAAGCCGCTTTGCGGGTGGCCAGATGCAGTTCTAGGGGCTGGGTGGGCTGTTGAAGTTTTCATATGTGTCACTTCGGTTGCTTATCTTTGCTGCCCACGGTCCAAAATTCACGGCATCCCCAAATTTGCCCGAGGCCGGGGCTCATGTCTTTGAGCATCTCTGGTTTGTCCCTGCAGGCAGTTGGATACTTTCTGGAAACGGCAAAGTCCCTCACTAACCCCGCCCCCACCCCGGTGCTGTTGAGATGTGCTGCAGACACTCTGGCTGGCAGATGCCCACACAGAGGCTGAGGCCACCTGCAGGGAGCCGCCTCCCTCCTCTCACCCTGGCCCTGGCGCCCCGGCCCTGCTGGCAGCTGTACACACGCCTGTGTGTCAGAGGACAGAGAGGCGGTGTTCCCATCACGGATGCGTGAGGGCGGTGTTCCCTCTCTGGCCAAAAGTAGCCCTGCGCTCAGAGGAGGCAGGAATGGCAGCGAGGGTCTGTTTCCACGAGGGGCTTTGCCTTCAGGGGCCCCGGACTTTGCTCTTACTCCCCGTGGGCTGAAGTCAAAATGGTTTCTGGGAGCGTGATTTTCCTAGATGTGCTCCGGGAGTGGTGCTTGTCCACCTGCTGGAAGCATGTCCACCACTTCGCCTTCTAAGCCATGCTGTTGTGTCCCTGCCCGTGGACAGGCTGGCCTGGCTCCCCTGTTCAGTGGGTGCCGTTGAGACCAGAGGTCCCAGTGCTTCTCTTGGAGGATCTAACTCTTGTTCCTCCTGGCTGTGCCGCCGCCCACACTCTCAGTCCCTTTCTGCTTATGCATCGATCTAGCAGGTGAGGGCTGCACACTTAAAGCGCCTCCTCCTCCTTAAATTGCCACGCTCTCATCCTGCACGCTACCTGGTGGCTGGATGTGCTGCAGCACACGTGTCCTCTGGTTCCATCTGCTATAGAACGATCCCTTGGACAGAGGCTGGCACGCAGCTCTTCTCAGGGTGAACTGGGGTGAGGTGGAGGCGGGATCTGCGCTATTCTGGCCCGTGTTGCTGAGGCTTTTCTAAAGCTGGGAGCCGTGCAAATGACAGTGCTTCACTTAGGAGATGCCGGCGTCCCAGGCGCTGGCGACGGTGATGGTGAATGCTCAGGCACAAGGTCCCCACCTCCTGGGATCTGCAGCGATGTCACTGCTGCTGATCTTGTCGAAGCACGAGCTGGCTTGGGCAGTCTTTCTGCATTTCTGTGTCACCGAAAAGCTGCCGAGAGTCCGTAGATTTTGTTGGGCCTCACGAGGAGGGACTTTTTGTTTTCTTGGGGTTCAGAAAGAGAGGGGGATAACTGATATTATTAGGTAACTAGACTAACCAAAAAAATTCTCCATTTTTGTGTTTTCTCAGCAAAAGTGAAATTTTAAAGAAATATCTTGCTGCCAAAAGTGACTCAGTTCCCCAAATCCTGCACGTCCACTTATCCAGCTGCCGCACGGCTGCCTGTGCTGACGACCCTCTCTCAGCAGAACTCTCCAGCTGAAGCCTCTTTCTTGAAATATTTCTCCACAGCGTAGGGGTCCGCCTCTGGGTTTTGCTCCTCTGTGGGCACAGCAGCGGGCCGCTGAGAGGGCGTTTGCAGGATCAGCAGATGGCCCTGGGGAACTCACGGTGATGCTCCATGGAGGGTGCTCCGTGGAGGGTTGGCACCATCAGGGGCCCAGGGTTCAAGGCCCCTGCACTGTATCACCTGCTCCTCTGCTCTGACACCCCCTTCCTGAGTCCTGTCTCAAGGGCTTTCCTGAACCTACCAAGGTCAGTGTGAATTAAAACCTGGAGAATCAAGTTAAAAAAAGAACAGAGAGGAAAAAGCCAAGGAAGAGCGATGGGGGTGTTCCTCGTCAGGTCTCCGTGATGCTGGGACCTGGGAGGCTCCCTCACTCACCTCGTTGGGCTCCCAAAGCCAGACGTCAAAGGTGGGCTTCCGGAGGGCTTCTATGGTCTCTGGAGAGAGCAAGTACTGCAGAGGACAGGAGTTCAGTGTTAACTGGGCAACCTTAGCCTCCGTGCTGGGACCAAGGCTGGTGACCTCAGAGAGACAATGGATGTTTTCTTTCCTTTCTCCTAGTTCCCCTTTCAACGACACCAGAGTACAGACTCAAAGCCTACATTCTACGAGAATTCTGGAAAGGGCAAAACTGTAGAGGCAGAAATCCCATCAGTGGCTGCCAGAGACAGGGCAAGACTGACCACAGGCCGGGGGCTGACCACACAGGGGCACGAGGGAATGTTTTGGGGTGATGGATATGTTCCCCATCTTGATCGTGGTGGAGGTTACATGACTACATCAGTTTGTCAAAATTCACAGTATTCTGCACCTACAGAAGATGAACTTCACTGCACGTAAATTACATCTCAATAAACCCGACTTAAAAAAATACAATAAAGTGAAGTCAAGGGAAAAAAAATTTACTTGGCATAAATTCAAATACTGGCTAAGAAGCTATTTTGAGTTTCTTTTTCCATGGGAACCCATCACCGGCTTAGCTGTGGGCTCAGACAGCACAGCTTGCAGAGGGAGGCTGGTTCTATGGAAGACCAGTCTAGGTTAAGTTGTCATAGGAAGCAGAAGGCCGCTTTAGACATAAGACAGGCCTAGTGTTTTGGGATTAGGTAGTCTTCTCCTAGGCCTTTCGTTTAGTTGTTTATTTAAAAGGAACTGCTGTGGAGGACTGACACCTTTTATTTTGGACCTAGGCTGGGCCTCGTGACTCCCTGGGGCAGGAGCGCTAGTGTCCATCTGAAAACCTCGGATAATATTTAGCGCATCGTTTGGAACCAAGGGGGAAACCCCTGACAGGGCAGCTCCAGAAGGCTCTTCGCCGCTGTGGGAACATCAGGTAGCAGAGGACCTGCCTTGTGCAAGGCCCAGGCCTCCTGTCTGCAGCACACGCGGCATGAGCAAGCGGAAGCCCGAATCTTAGTGCAAAAATACGTTAAAAATCGGTTGGGTTAGGATTTCGCTCCCTCACCAGATGGGTGACCACCATCATGAAACTCTTCTTTTGTGGTGGTTTGAGGACGCTCCCCTCAATTCCCAGGGGACTGCCACTTTAACAAGGGCCCGGGGGCTCTTGGAACTGAGAAATCTTTGTGACAAAAAAGCAAAACTTCTCATAATAACTACGTATTATTCAGGGACAGGAGATCCAATGAAGCAGATTTTAAATAATTTAGTTAAAAATTAAAATTCTTTAAATAACATTTGAGTGTAAAAACCATTGATCAAGCCAGCGATGGGGGCCGGGCACACACCAGCGAGGAGCTCTTATCTCCTGGCACAGTAAGCTGGATCTGGGACCACTTTGCTAAACAATTGTCGAAGAGAAAAACTACTCTGCCTAAGAATAACAGGACTGTTCCCCAGCCCAGGGCTGGGGTGGGAGCTGCTTTTGCAAACGTGCAGACAGCAGGGCCCCAGGGTAGCCGAGGGTGGGGGGCCCCATTCCCCGGGGCTGTGGACACAGAGCTGCTGTTTCTTCAGAGGCACAATTCCATCTTACCTTTGGATAAGTGGGGACATCGCGGCGAGGTGTCAACTTCTTGTTGTTATCCAAAAAACTATACTTACAGGGACAGCTGGTCCTGAAGAGAAAAGGTCAAGATTAGCTCTGGCGTTGCAGCTTCCAGCTTGGGGTTCACCAGGACAGTGGACTGTGGGGACCTCAGCAGAGCAAAAACAAAAACACCAAAACCAAACCAAACCAAACCCCACAACTCCCCTTTGGTCTTCTTTGTTATAGGAGAATCAGTCATAAAGCCTGTGACACCTCATTGCTAACCCCCCAGGGACCCCACCTGGACCTCCTGAGATAATATTGGGCTCTTAGAAAACATGCCATCTTCATTTTAGACAAGTTTCTAGAAATCTTTTTTTTTGCTGAGGAAGATTCGCCCTGAGCCAACATCTGTGCCCATCCTCCTCTGTGTTGTATGTGAGCTGCCGCCAAAGCATGGCCACTGATGAGTGGTGTAGGTCTGAGCCCGGGAACCAAACCTGGGCCACCAAAGAAGCGGAGTGTGCTGAACTTAACCTCTAGGCCACTGGGGCTGGCCCCTAAAAATCTTTTTTTAATAATGCAAGCAAAACACTTATTCTCAAAAATTTGAACAACATAAAAATGGATAAAGCAGAAAAAAAAAGCTAAGTCCCCACTTCACGCACTTCTTTCCTCTAAATCTCACACTCTGGAAATACCCTCTGTCAACAGTTTGAGGTATCCTTCCAGAATTTTCCTAGGCATGGAGATACATGGACAGCCCCTTGTACTTCCAAACAAGGATGGGATTGAACCAAACTTACTCTCTTGTAACTTGTTTTTTCATTTAACCTGTCGAAAACTCATTGCGTGTTGCTTCAGAGCTGAACGTCATGAAAAGCAGCTCCTCCTCTGGTCCTCCAGGGTGCGGCTGCACCACACGTTATCAGTCCCGTCCCCAAGACGGACTTCCAGGATGTCTCCAGTTTTCCCCGTTACACGCATGTTGCTAGACGAATTTGCTATCTGACTCTGTTTTTCTTCATTACTTAATATCAACTTATCTTACATAAGAGCAGAACAAAAGGAGCCAGGTGTGTTTTGGAGGAAAGCCACCTTCCGATACCAGGGGAGGGTGTGCTGGCCTGTGGGGCTGGATGTGCGGGATCCACATCCTCCAGGAGATCTGGCCGTCCCTGGCCCCCTCCCCGCCTGGGACCTTAATTTCCTTGGATATGAACATGCTCTCCATCCTCTGACTGATCAGGGAGCAAGACAGTGTGTCCACACCCCCTTGTTTGAGATTCCCGGGCCGGTGGGCAGGGGACAAGCATATCAATGTGAACAGAGGAAGCTCATGCGATTTGCAAATAAAGTTCATCCTCTGGGAGAGCAGAGTAAGAACCATCAAGAAATTCACATCCTTTAAGCCAGTGTGTCTACTCTGGGGAATTTAAGAAAAGAATTAGACGCAAGCAAGCAGCTTTGTGTACAAAGGTATTCACTGCAGTGTCATCTGTTGTTACAAAAACACAAAACCAAACCAGAAACCACCTAAATGTTCCCAAATGGGAAATAATTTAAACCATTACAGTAAATCAACAGGATGGACTATTACGTGAGCTGTAAGATAATTATGAGTATTATGTGAAGCAAGGGACTCTTAGGTGAAAAGGGAAAAGAAATGTTGCATCCAATATGTACTAAAAGGAAATGCATTTTTTCTATGAGGTAAAAAGAACACATTTGGTGGGTGAAAAACGAGTGCTGGACTGTGGCTTTCTGGAAAAACGTGTGAGCTATTTATGTTGGTTAAAATTGATCTATCTATTGTTCACAACGTTGTTAAGTGAAAAAAGATTACAACACAGCATTTCTTAGTTGTTTTTCAAAACTAGATGTCTACTCGTAGAAAACATCTGGGAAGCTCGGCATCTGGATTTCAACTGGGGGAATTGTGGCCGCTGTCCTCATTCGTGACTCGCCCCCTCATCAGTATAGTCTGGAGGTTTTACAAGGACGCTACGCTACTTGCAAACTCAGAATAATAAATCTACGTCCTTTTTGAAAACAGAGCCTTCAATACTATTTTCTTTGCTTGCAAAAATCATCAGAGTTGCTTATGACAGCTTAATGTGCAGAGGGGGATTTTAACACAGATTTAGCAAAAGAATAACAAAGCGAATCAATGAAAGGTACCAACCAAACGATTTCCACGGTCACCCCATTAATGAGAAATCCCACTGACACATTTCTGAGCAGTGACAAGCTTGGTCTGTGCACTTACAAAAACAGATAGCATCATCATGCTTTCTTTTCCGCCTTTAACCTCTTTTGTATAAACATGCACACATGTGCCATCCAGGTAAGTCCTGCGCATTTCCCAGGAGGGTTGTGGAAGCTTCACCAAGCAAGATGGTTTGACTGCTGGAATCCAGCTGCTTCTTTGAAAATCCCAGTGTTGGGAGCATCTGCTGGGTGCCTGGTGACTCCTGTCAGGGCCTCCCCACCTCATCAGGCGGCCCCTGCCTGCTCCCTCTGTGCCCTGTTGCCACGGGAACCAGCATCCTCCAGCCGACAGAGCAACTGGCACGGTGCCTTTTCATTCTATTTGGGGCAAATTTTTGCTTTCATTTCCTGGGCTCCCAGCCTTCCCTCCCCTGGGGCTCAGTCCAGTGGTCAAGGCCATTTGTTTGGGATGAAAGGGGACATGACACACCCCCAGAGCCACGAGATGCCTCTCAATGCTCCTGCAGCCCTCCCTTGCCCCGGGTAACCAGCAAGCTCCACTCTGTGCTGCTCGGGTGCTGGGGGCCAGCATTCCGCGGTCCTCAGTGAGGCCTGGCCCTGCCCTGCATATGAGCCGGCAACTGGGCCTCTCTCCTATTGTGGGGGAGCAGCCTGATCCGGGGGTGTTCGTGAGCCTACGCACACCCCGACTGCTACCCGCTGCTCCCCGAGAGGAAAAGGCAGTTCTGGTCCATGCAGACCCCTGGCACCGAGGCCCTGCTGGGGTGTGCTGTGTGTGGGTGAAGTGGGTCAGCACTGCAGGCTCATTAGTCATCTGTGTGGGCACAGGGCTGCGCTCAACCCGGCCTGGTGCCTTTGTCCTCTCTGCTCTCCCAGAGGAGGCAAGATTGCCACTCAGCTGGGTTGACATTTCAGAAAGAGCTGCTCCGAGGTGCAATTTCTCCCTGGCAGTCCAGGCGAAGTCCCATTTTAACAAGCCTGGTCCCGGGGATGCTAAATTGCTACATGGCACCCTTGCACGACTGAAATGGAACCTTACCGTCAACAGAGACAGAAGGCGTTGCCAAATGGCTCACAGTTCTCCATCGGAGTTTGTTTCCCCATAAAGAAAAGGGAAGCGCTGTTCGCTGTTTGTGTGGGGCACGGAGCCTGCTGGGTTCCTGGACTAGGGTCTGGGGTGGGCCATGCTGCTGTGGATTAGACCTGAGCCCAGACACTGGGCTTCTCTTTTCTACATGTGTGAGATTTTTATCCCATTCTGTTTTTGATTGAAGAGTCCCATTTGCCCGTCTCTCACCTACGTGGGATGCTGTGAAAACTGTCTGCTGAGAATATCTCCTCTACAGGCGGAGAGGGCGCTGGGGCATCTTCTCTTTGGATTATGGCGCCGTGAGCTCTAAAAATGGACTCCTTGGGGGAGCGAGGAAGAGGCCTCACTCTTCGCATGGGCCCAAGCGCCCACCGTGCCTCCGCTCAGCCCACCCTGCCCCAGGGGCGCCTGCAGATGACACCTTGCTTCCTGGCTCCTGGGTGGGCCTCCTCCCATGGGCTCTGAAGTTAGTGTATCTTCCCCATGTGGCATGCTATGGGTTGAACTGGGTCCCCCAAAGTCACATGTTGAAGTCCTAACCCCCGGTACCTGTGATGTGACCTAATTTGGAAATAGGGTCGTCACAGATGTAATTAGTAAAGATGAGGTCAGCCTGGAATAGAGTGGGCCCTAAACCCAATGATGGGTGTCCTTTTAAAAAGGGGACATCTGCACAAAGAGACACACAGGGAGAAGACCGTGTGACGACAGAGGCAGGGACTAGAGTGAGGCCTCTACGCCCCATGGAAATCTCAAGAATTGCTGGCCACCACGGGAGCCTGGGAGAGAGGCCTGGAACTGATTCTCCCCTCCCGTCTCCAGAGGCAGTGTGGCCTTCCAGACACCTTGATCTCAGACTTCTGGCCTCCAGAACTGTGAGAGAATAAAGTGCTCTTGTTTTAAGTCCCCCCTCGTGCGGTGCTTTGTTACAGCAGCCACAGGAAACTAACTAGCTTGGATAAAACTCTTTTTTCCCTGCAACCTGAGCCGCTGGGCCAGCGCACGCAGGGAGCACACCAGGCGCGGCACACCCCCATCCCCGCGCTGCTGCTACAGAACGGGAGGAAAGTGGAGGGGCCCGAGGCTGCTGGGACACAGCAGGCGCAGGGCCAGCGAGGTCAGCGGCTCAGGACTCACCCTGGCTGCTGGGGGTGGGTGGCAGAACGCGGTCATTTGAGAAGGGCAGAGAGGCTGCATTCTAAAACCGCCCCCTGCAAGCGCTCTGTGGGCCCCGTGGACGAGCACAGGTGTGGGCAGGTGATGCCCACAGAGACTGGAAAGAACTGGAGATGGCACCAATTCAGCCCAAGAGACACACCCTCTGCGGGGAGGGGTTCGGCAGCCCGTTGCACAGACGAGGGGCTGAAGCCGAGAGGCCGTGCTCAGGGAGCCTTTAGTTTTAGGCTGAAGACCAGAAGGATCTTAATCCTCTTCCCCCAGTGCTGCCGGATGAGGCTGGTAATGCCAGCAGTGTTGGACCCACAATCCCCTTCTGAGGCATCCTGCCCCCACTTGGCCCTGGGCAGAGGGCAGCTGTGCCAGGCGACTCCTGGGGTACATGGCCCTGATGGGCACCATGTGGGGCCACCCCCCTCTCACCACAGCAGATGTGGCACTCAGCCACGGCAGGCAGTCCGAGGCCGGTCGGCAAGGGGCCTGGCTAGTTGGCTTTTCTCACTTGGGTGTTAGGACTGGCCGAAGGATGGAGGTCCAGCATGTGGCAGCTGGGGCACGAGGGGCAGCCAGAGGGCTGAGCTGAGCCATGTATGACCAGGGGCACTGTGGGTCTGAGCATCCTTCCAGCTGCCAAGCCAGATCCCAGCCCCGGGGGTCCACCTGCGTGGCTGCCCCGTGTAACGCCAGGGCTCTTACTAGGTCACATGAGGGACTCATCCCTTGCCCCCTAAAGAGCCTCCCACTACGGGGATGGCAAAGATGAATTATTTGCTCACAATTTTCTGGGGTCACAAACTCTTTTGCCCCGACGTCCCCCAAATCAAATGGGATGAGGCATCCTAACATCCAAATTGGCTGCCAAGTAAGTGTGACATCAGTGTGGCATGGTCTCTGTGAGACACATGCCAACGTGACTCTGAGCCCATCAGGCTATTCTCCAAGCCCACTCTGAGGCCGGCCAGGCCTGCCGGGACTCTGATGGGACAGAGCTGTGACCATCAGCTTTCCCTCCACCTCCTGGCCCCTGAAGACCCTTCCGCGAAGCCACACTCCCTCACTAAGCAGGCTGCCCTCAATTTCTTAAAATCAGGGAATGCTCTTCATTATGGCAGGTGACCCTCTATAAGACAATGTGACTCATTTGCACAGGGCTGTCCTTAGGCTCATCAGTCCTCATTAAATCCCGCTGAGGCCAGCCCTCCCCTCAGCAGTACTCAGCAGTGTGCGCTTGTAGAGGGGGAAGATGGGCCACATTATAACCATGGGGTCTCCTGGACGGGTAACTAGGGGCATGAAGAGACCACAGGAGAGCAGACAGGCGTAAGCTGGTCCTTGTAAGCAGAGGACTCGGCACAGCCCCGCACACAGTAAGCGCTCAATGCGTGTGCTGTCTGTCATCCTCTTTGCTGCCATTGTGCATCTCCGCCCTCAACCTGAACATCTGCTGTGACCACGGTTTTGGTAGAGGGTCCTGTTACACAAAGAAAACCATTTTCGAGGGGATGTAATGAAGCCTGGGACATTTTTTTCACGAATTTCGGCACCCTGGGCCACCGCGCGCTGGCTCCCCAGGGCACCCTTGTTCCACAGGACAAGTGATTTCTGTGGCCAGAACGGCTGGAGGCCTCGCAGCATTGCTCCCCTGACCGCTGCTTGCACTGTGGGAATGTCCAACGGGCATGGGGCATCTGGGGCACCAGGACGCTCGTCCCCTGCAAGCCAAACGCCTTTTTCCTTTTATTGTTCCCTTGCTTTAAAAATTGATGTCAACGTCTTTCAAGCTGGGTAAGTTAATCCTGCACTTTGATCGGTGGGAGGATCACCCCCTTTTATACGGAGTCATCCTCCCAGCCTCCATCTGCCATAAACCCTCTTTCATGATAAGAAAGCTGTGTCATTCACAAGCAAATCCCAAGTGAAGAAGGGCTGTCTCCAGACTGCGCTGGCTCCAGCCTTGCTTTAGGGAGAACAAAGCCCCCACCCCCGGATGCCCCCGCGGAACTCTCCCCCAGCCGGCTGCCCTTGGGCTCACCCAGCGCAGACCTTACCTGTTGCTTCTGGCTGCCAGCTCCTCCCTCATCTTTTTAATGTCACTCTTGCATTTCTCAATCTCCACCACTTTTAGTCCTTCCACTGGCAATAAGGAGAAACAAGGGGGTTACCACGGATACACACGGAGGATCCTGCAAGGCTGGTAACAGGGGGCTACCTCCCCGTCTCCCCGTGTCCCTGGGAGGAGAGCTGGCTCAGTGCAGTGGTCCCTACTCCTGCCCAGGCTGCTGATATTCAGGTCTCCCCCTCATTCAGCTCAGCCACAACTGACTAGCATCACAGGCCTGTTCCACGGCTAAGCGTGAACCCTCGCGTGCATCTGTGCAGCGTCTACAGGACGGAAGCCCCTCCTCCGCCCAGCTCCCGGAATCTCGGCTCTTCTTGCGCCCACTTCCCGCTTTCTCTCTCTGTGCTCCTAAGCACCAGCTGAGGACACGGGACGAAGAAGTCTTTGATCCCCAAAACAAAAGAAAAGGGGAGATTTGTGGCCTCAGTGTATTAAAATGCATTAAAAGGGCTCCATGGGCAAAACCACAGCTTTCCCAGCAAGGATGAAAATTTCCTTAAGATAAAAGCTTTTCATTTCAAGGTCCTCACTGGAGCAATTAACCAGGAGAAAGTGTTGATTTAGAATGGATAAGAAATAAACAGGGCAAGTTAAGGATGAGCAGAACCCAGGCTTGATCCCATTCCCAGAGGCCGCGGCAGGGGCGTGCCTCAAATGTCAGGACTCCAGTTTTCACCAAACGATGAACTGGAGCTTCTGCCCCCAAGTGAGTGTTCAACTTGAGGATGCTCCCTCTGGCAGGCTGCGCGGCGAGCCCAGAAATGCTGCCATGGGGCAAGCAGCTTCGGAAAGGCTTTCAGATGAGAGTCGGTTCATAAGACATGAAAAAGATTAGCTTTGTTACTTGGTAATCACATCTCAAATTTTATGCAGAAAGATACTACCCACGGTGTCACTCTATTTCCCTTATCATCAAGCGTGGCTCTGTATATGCTAAAAATAAAACGAGGGTGATTTCCGAAAGAAAAGCGAAGAAACTCGGTGACTTGCTGGTTCTAACACTCCCGCGCCCGCAGGAGCTGCTGCAGCTCTGGAGGGCGTGCGGGGAGACTCTCCGAGCGCAGCGCCCTGGGCAGCCTGGCTGGAACCAGAACTCCCCTCGGCAGGTCTTCTAAACACTTTCAGGGTCAGGGGTCGAGTAGGGGCAAGGCTATGTGAAAACATTTCTTCTTCCTGCGCAAAGTGACGGGAATCTGGAGATCTGACATTCGGATCTGGCCCAGGTGACTTGCCTCTGTGCCACGCAAGGGTGGCTGTGTAGGCAGCTCAACAGCCTTCTCCGCTCCTCCTCTGCCACGACAGGGGGACCAAACTGTGGGGCCTTAAATGCAAGTGGTTGGAAGCCGGGACGTGGGGAAACTCAGGGAGCTTGACAGTGGGTGCTTCCTAAGAGTCCACACCTTCTTTTTGGAGTGGGGTGTTCTCAGCGCTTTCTTGTATCGCAGACCTCATTAGGAAGTAGATGAGAGCCGCGGGTCCTCTTCTGAGAAAACGCACATGAGCACAGCCCCTTTAGTTTGCATTAGGACCAGGAGCGCGCCTCGGCCTCCCAGGGCACTCCCAGGCCTTGCACCTCACTGCAGGATGCTTACCCCGTGGAGGAGGGAACCCCAGGGGAGCTGTGTCTGCGGTTTGCCGCTAGGACACTGACGTCAGCAAATGGTAGATTCGACATCAGTGGCAAGAAGGAGCTCAGTCTCGTTGACACGTGAAGGGCAGAAAATTCCAGAAAGTGAATAGATCTGGAGAAGAGACCCGGCATGTGGTATAGACTTTGATCCAAAAAGTGAATAGATACGGGGAAGAGAGGAAGCAGGGAGAGCAGAGTGCACACAGGGCAGCTGTGCCCTGCCATGCAAGGTCCATGGTTACATTTATGATGTTTTAAACATCATTTTTATGAATGCAAAATAATATATGATCGTTGTAGAAAATGGAGGAAATAGAATCTCAAAGAAGAATATTTTAAAATTTGTCTGTGATCCTATTGGCCCAGAAAACAGCTCATTTAATATTATATATATTGGTGTGTATCCTTCCAGGCATTTCTCTCCCAATCCCCCATGCATTCTAAATATCTATCTGTCTATTCTTAATTTTAAGAAGACAAAAATTGGGATCATGCTATTTGTTCTGTTTTCTCTTTCCTGACCAGTAAGTCAAGGACACTCCTGTGCTAGCAGCCACCTCACAGCTCAGGGTTTCCAGTGGGTGTGTAATGCTTGACTGTATCAGTATTAGAGTTGATGTGGATCAGATTCCCTGGCCATTTATTGGGGTGATGTTCAAATTAAGCCGTTTGGGCGACACAGTACAATATCACTAATTTGAATCCCAGAGATTCAGAATTTATGGCAATTACGTTTGTGAAGAGCCTGGTTGCCAAAGAAATTGATAGTGAGTAAAAAGATGGCAAAAGCTGTGCATTAATCAAGGGAACAGAAAAACATGTCACGGGATTAAAGAGCCAGAACAGAAGGCGACGCCTGGAGATGGTGAGAGAGCGCATGGCAGATTTGGGCACCAGCAGACCGGGGATCCTGGCTCGCCTTCCTTTCCTGGCACCTGGCTGCCTTCTGGAAGATTCCATAGTTCCCCTCGTTGACCCATTCCAGCCCCACCTTGCCCCGTCCCAGGAGCTGGGGCCTCGCCCCCAAGGACGCCTGCACAGACCCTGGTGAGGACTCCAGAGTCGAGACTGGACGTTAGTTTCACACATCGTGGCCCCACTTGTCCACCTCGAACTTTAACATAGGGGGGCACAGACAAGAACCCCAAACTACAGCAGAGGCTCCCCCAGCCCCACCCAGCACTGGAGGGCCCCTGCTTATTCCCCCAACCAGGCACGGGCCCCCGGACAGGCTGACTCGCAGAGTTAGCATCATCTGGAAATCGGGCTGTGCTCTCTCGGACTTCAGAAGTCGTTTTGTGGGCTTCTCCAAGTCACAGGCCACCCCGAAGGAGAACCATTGAGAATGATTTTCCAAAAGAGACACAGGCTTCTGGACGGGGTCCCGTGGGCAGGAGGAGAACAGGTTGGGGAGGCAGTTCTGTTCTACGCTTTGGGCTTTCTCGACAGGAGGCCCTGGGCCTGCAAGCCCCTCCTTCGCTGCAGAGCTAATGAAAGTTGTTTAAAGATGTGTATGAATAGAGGGGTTTACACTTCCTCCAGGGACTTCGCTAATGAATTCGCATAAAACACACTGCCTGAGTGACAAAGAGAAAAACTAAGCTTTGGTTTCAGCGTGGAGTCTTCTGTATTGTTCGCAAGCCCCTGTGGCGTTAAACTTCGCCCCATGGGGCCGGCTCTCGCTGTGGCATGGGGACAAAGGCCAGACGGGGGCAGGGCTGCCCCGTGCCCAGCCACAGGGTGCTGGCACAGCGGCCAGTGTCCAGCAAACAAGGAAGGAAGGAGTGAGGCTCCCCGTGATGTTTCATCTCTGACCAGGAAGGAGGTGAGGACCCAGGTGTGTTGGGTTTATGAAATAATCTCTAACCTAAGGGAGACTCCAGACGCCTCGGAGGAGGGAAATATTTTATATAAAAAGGAAGAAAATTTTTAAAGTGATTTAAGAGAAATGGAGAAATTTATATTTGAGTCATAAGCATTATCTGTTTGAAAAGGTCAAAAAATAAGCAAGAAATCCCATTTAAAACAAACCAAACCAATGTAATGTGGCTTAATGATGGCCAGTTCTAGCTGGATGCTTCCTTGAACTCGAGAAGCAGAAAATGCTAATAACAGCTCTGTTATACCAGATAAAGTGTGTGTGCGTGTGAGCACGGTGTGCATGCGTCTCTGTGTGTTTACACGTGTGTGCATGTGGGGGTGTATGTGTGTGAGTGCATGTGGCTGTGTCTGTTTATGTGTGTGCGAGCACGTGTGTGTGTGTGTGTGTGTGTGTGTGATAGACATCTGGGCCTGGGCCCAGTGGAGAAGTCTGGTAACTGTGTTCCTGGCAGCCTTCCCGGTCCAGCGGCCCAGGGCAGCTTGCTTCTGACAGCTGTGCAGCATCAGGACTGACTTTCTGAGCAGCTGGGATGACCAGCTCCCCAAGTGACCTGTGTGAGAGGTCCAGCTGCAGGACCCCTCTCCTCCAAAGGAGACTTTCCCCTTCCAGGCACCTGCCACGTCCCAGTGACTCACAGCTTTGGGTTAAGGCATTGCTGTCTCTGGGCAGGCTCTCTGGAACCCATTCCCCCTGGGGCTCAGCACAGGTGAGGCAAACCCCACCCTCCCCCCGCCCCACTACCTCCGTGCTAAAGCAGAGGCTGTCAGAGACTGGGAAGTGGTCAGCCAGGAGCGCTAGGAGAGGACATGCCCAAAGCTAGGTGGAGTTCAAGGAGGATGTAAGCCCATCTGAATTACAGCCACCTCCTGGGGTGTGTGCACCTACATGGCCATGCTCATGGTGGAAGGTGGCCAGCCAGGAGGAGGTGGGGATGCTGGGGGCTGATGTGGGGAGAGGCAGCAAAGTGGGGTCGTGAGGGGAACCCACTGCCCACAGTTCCCACCCGACCACTGCCAAGTCGCTCCCTCAGCCTGAGCTCCTAGACGGTTCCCTACTCTCTCCCTACTCCCTTGATTCCATTCCTGCAGTGCCTAGGTCTCCGGTACTAGAAATGAGCACAACCATTTTGATCTACCATTTTGATCATTTGAGCAGAGAAGGGGAAGAGGCCGATGGAACTGGAGGAGGTGGGCGCAAGGCAGGAGGCACCTGCTGCTGCAGGCATCTGCAGTCCAGGTGGTGACTGGGCCACTTTTCGCCCCCGTAAACGTACGTGGTGACCCGGCAGTGAACGTTTCTCGTGTTTTTCGGCTGAACCCCTTCCTGTGTCTGGAGAATTCCCTACTCTATGGGGTTGGTGGGAAGCTGAGCTCGCCTCCCGCTGTGGAAGATGGAAATACCAAACACTCACTACAGTGGGCTGAACTGTGCCCCCCAAAAAGATATGCTCACATCCTGACCCCTGCATCCTGTGAGTGGGACCTTATTTAGAAAAACGTTCTTGGCAAATATAATGGTTAAGGATCTTGAGATGAGATCCTCCTGGATTTAGGGTGGGCCCGAAAGACAGATGTCCTCATAGGAGGCAGGCAGAGGGAGACCTGAGCCACAGGGAGAGGCCGTGTGAAGACGGAGGCAGCTTGGAATGATGCGGCCGCAAGCCAGGGACGGCCGGCAGCCACCAAAAGCTAGAGGGGGCCTGGAACAGATTTTCCCCCAGAGCCTCCAGAAGCACCTGACCCTGCAGACACCTTGAAGTCAGACTTCTGGCCTCCAGAACTGTGGGAGAATACATTTCTGTCATTTCAAGCCCCCAGTGTGTGGGCCTTTGTTCTAACAGCCATGGGAAAATAACACACTCACTTTCTCTGGCCTCCCTGGCAGCTGGGGTGTGGGCATACGGTCCAGCTCTGTGCCGACTGTGAGTTTGTAGCCAGGACATGGAGAAGCAGCCTGACCCCTGCAGGCGCAGGGGGGAGCACAGAGCGTGGGGTGCTGGGGGGGGTGGGTACCGGACGCCTGGGGATCGGGTACAGCAGACCAGCATCCTCACGGTGTTAGCTGTGTGTGGGATTTGAAGCATCACTCCTGCTGTACAGTCACCAAACCCTGTTCCTGAGCCCTCCCGGGGATCTGGGAAGCTACCCAAAATCCTTTAGGAAAAACCCCTTTTCTGTTCAGTGCAGCCACAACCAACCAGTTTCTGTGGCTGCAGCTGCGAGGCCGGCTTTGTGACTCCATTCTCAGGCCTCCTCGTCGGGGCCCAGCCTCTACAGCCAGGCGTGGAGGAAGGTGACAGCGAGAGCAGCCCAGCCGGGACCCCGGTGCTGGTCCCAGTTTCATTTACTTTTCCAATTTGCTGAATGAGCCTGAGCAGCTCACTTCATCTTTGTGACTCCCTAATTGTCAATCAGGAAAATAAAGCTGTTTCGAAGATTGAATGACCAAATGGATTTCAAAAATGTCAATGCGCTTTTGTCCTCTGTAAATCACGTTTTGAGTTACTTAGGTGAATCGGTTTTGCATGAATTTTTTTTCTTGAACAATTCTAAGCAATTCATACAAGATACGAAAAGCAAGATTCAAGGGAGTCTTACGAATGTGAATCAACCAGACAATGGTGAGGCCACAACCTTGAGGGCCTCCTGTTTGGATTTTGTTTACTCATCCTTGAAGTTAATAAATATTTGCGTCCATGGATCTTTAACCTTGGCCTTGACATTGACAAAGAGCCTTCCTTGTTGTGAGTTGAATGGGGAACTGTGAGACATGGAATTCAAGCGTTGCTCCTTATTTTATGGATGAGGACACAAAGGTAAGTGACTTGAAGCTGTCTTCATCCCAGAATTTTAGCTGGTCACTGAATTAAGAGTTGAATTGACTCTCCTTTGCTTCCTAGTAGTTTTTCTGCTTTCCCTTGTGGTAATTGGGACCAAGAGGCCATGAGTAAGCAGACATATTCCAAGAACACTGTGAACCCATAGAGCATGGGTCACTGTGTTCCCATTTATGTAAAAAGAGACACACACAAGGATACTCAGCAGAAGTCCCTCCCCCGAGAGGGCTAAGTCTGGGGGGCTTCGTGCTCTCCTTCTGCACCTTCTGCACTGAAAGAATGCTTTACTGTGTGCTGTGCCACTGAAACATGCAACACAGTGCAATACCATGTACCTGTAATGTGTCACATGTCACCTAGTGACTTTTACCATAGAAATAAAACGCTTAGAAGAGTCACTGCTCCAGCCTTTGCTAACATCAAAGGTAATTTTTAGGTATTTCACAAAGAAAAGACATTCACACATACCTTCTGCCTCCCGTCCCTTCCCTTCACCTCACCACCGGTTCAAGAGATTAATTTAAAAAGAGGTTAAAAGACGTAGAAGCGAAAAGAAAACAACCCCCGCTCACATTCCACTCGTTTCTCTAGCACTGCCAAGTGATTGGCAACCTCAGCCTTCAGTTCGTTGATTTTGAATGCCCTAGGAAAGAAAAAAAAGAAAAAACGTAGCTGGTAAAATTCTCAAAGTTAAAGCAGGTTCAGCAAACACCTGTCGAATCCCTGCCATGGGTGAGGCCTCCAGGTGGGCTGGTGAGGGGCGGGTACAGAGACGAGAGGGGTTGCTTTTCAGGAACTCATAGTGTGTGTGTGTTGGGGGGAGACATAGCTTCAAATTATCTAGAAGGTGTATGTCCAAGATGGAGCACATAGTGGTGCCACGCTGGTGGGCACATTTACTTCCCACACCTGGGCAGGGAGCATGTGCTCTCCAGGGAGGACCTGGCATCCTCTGTTCACAGCTGGCATGGCCCGGCCCCTGTACCCTCCCCGCTGGGGACAGACTACCTTTCAGGGGACCTTCAGGGGACCTGGCGAGGGCTCTCCAGGCTCCAACCCACTTGGCTCAACAACTCTTGGGCTTCAAGAATACCACCCACCTGCCCTTTCTCCATTTTAATCACCCTGGGGCACTGAGACGCCACAGTGAAATAACAGAGAAACGGAAAGAATTTCCTTCAGAACGGGCAGGATAATTCAGAATGAGAAGGAAGCCCTACGTCTACATAGGATCTCTGTGAGAAAGCTTATTTTAAAGCTTATTTTAAAAATGGTGTCAATTCTTGTAGGTTGAACTCTGAGTCCCAGAAGAGCTGGTTGAGAAAATTCTCAGCAACATGAGCTCTCCTTCTAAAAGTACCCACTTGACATGGTCTTTGGTACAAAGCGAGTGTTTCCTGGAGCCCATCCAAGCTGGCTTAGTTACAGAAGTCACAGAAGGATTCCATTCCGGGGAAGTGATGTCTCAGAGCCTGTCGACCAAGACAGCCTCAGAGCCAGGGGCCCTCCATGGCCGTGAAAAGAAAAGGCATGCATCTCTGGAGATACCTCTAGAAGACTCTGTACCTTGAGAACTGCTCTGCAACCTGGGTCAGCACACTCTGGATTAATTCTTCTTTCTCTACAGACCAAAACAGAAAGACAGATTAGAAAAGAGAAAGGTCCGTGGATCGTCATAGGCCGGAATCCACATGTCGTGGCACGTGGCACCAATGCCGTGGTGCCCGGGGCACCTGGAGGGAAGTTCTGGCCCACTGTTGGCTCCCCAGGGCCTCGAGTTTTCCTGTCCACCTTCAAATGCTCTGTCCCTCCCGGGCGGCACCAGGCCCACCAACCCGTCTCTCAGTGGTCTCTCGGCAGAGTGGCCAGGGCTGTGGTCCTCCTGTGTTAATACCAGCTATAAAAAGCAGGCAGGACCAGGTCTCTGAATATGGGAAGTTTTCACTTACAGCCTGGGTCCATTTTATGGCGGCAATTACTATGACACAGAGAGTTCAAGGCGTATTTCAAATGCAAAACACAGTGTTCTCGCGGCAGGTCCGGAGAAAGGAAGTGGGCAGCGGGAGCCAGTCAGTCCCTCTGCTGCTTGGCACGTAAAACTGGGCTGGGTGGCTGGTTTTACAAGGCTCAGGTCCCAGGCCGAATATAACGTGCCTGGTTTCCTGTTTCCTGACCAGCCCAGTGCCGGATACCTCATCGGAAGGTGTAGATGCTCCCAGCACTGTTCTTTCCAGAATTCTATGCTCCTGGGAAGGGAGCAATCTCTTCTTGGCTCCAGGTGGCCATGAGTTCATGCCCCAAAACACTGAGAACCTCCCCAAGGCTTACTCCTGACTTCATGTAATCTTCTACGCTGGCTCTACGCCCAACCCTGCACTAAAACCATAACAAATCAAAACCAAAACAAACCCGCCCAAGCAAACAAAAAGTCTCAACAGTCCAATTTGGCAATGAGGTTCAAAAGCTAAAAATATTCACATGCTCTGATCTAGTGTCTCCATTTCTAGGAAACAATCATGTAGCACACAAGAGATGTTCACCACAGTGCTATTTAACATAGTGAAAACTGTAACAGCCCATGTGTCCATCAAATGGACACTGAATGAATGATGGCATATCTGCACTCTGGAAACATAGTCTGCTACCGGAAATAGTACCTTGGAAAATGTCCACGTCTGTTGTTAAAGTAAAAAAAACCAGATTGTAAAACAGTAATACAGTGTGGTCCTATTTTTGAAAACACTGGGAGGATGTACTCCAAAATAATAACAGTAGTTATTTTTTGGTTGTAAGATTATATATATACTTTTTTTCTTATTTTTACTTCTCTATATCTAGCACATTTCTATAATGAACATATGTTAATTTCATAAAAAATATTTAAAAAATTAATCAATCTGAATCTACTGTCCTCCCAGCTCAGTCTGAGGGGCAGACATTTGTATTCTGGTCCATGTAATAGCTACATCTCAGCCCATGTGTCACCCATGTCAGCATATCCGTTGTTCTCAGAAAGGGCACAGCTGCAAAGCTGAGCTCCGGGCGAGAACAGCCCCGGGGTGCCATTGTTCAGGTCATGTGTTCACACTGATGCCACCCATGTAACTGAGCGCTGTGCTCCCTGAGACCCCTCTTGGCCCATGCACGAGCTGCATTCTTTTGCAAGGGAAAGGAGCAAAGATGTCTGCGTGCACAAAGGCTGGCCACACCCACGCATCCATCCACGGAGCCCTGCTGGGAAGGGAGTGCCCCCCTCCCCACCAGCTCACTGGGGTTCCTGCAGTGGCCACTGCTTCCTCCCAGTGGACTTCCCTCCCAGATTTTAAAAATGAATTATGATTTAATGTGTGTCAACTACTCAGGACGGGGCCTGGCCCACAGTACGCCCTGCCTGTGTTAGCTACTGTTTTTGTTATTCTTACATCACTAAGGGTCCCCGATAGCCGAGGTTCTCTCTGACACCTTTCTTGCTTTCAGTGCCTTCCCGGTGAGTTCCCGGTCCCTGGGGTAACAGGCTGAGCTCGGGGGGAGGGAGTGGGCACTTCCACTGAGGAGTGGCAGCACCCTGCCTACAATGTCCCGAATGTGCTCTGCTCTCCCTCAGTGCCTCTGGAAGCCTCAGATAGCCCTAAACCCCTGGATTTGGGGGGCAATAAGCAGTTTTCAATCAAAAATGTTAGTCATCCCCAACCTTCCTGGCAAACCTACTCCTATCAGAAAAATCAGATATTACATAGGAAATCCATCTCTTTCTCCCAAACGCTGCATGGCATACACTGAATTTTAAAAATTAAAGCATATTCTCGTAATTTTGCTTTAAGAATTTCTTAATAGCTTTAAAAGTAACTGGCAACAGCTAGGGATGCTGGCAATTCAGGTGGACGTGACTGGGTCTTGGGCTCCCTTTGGACCTCAAAGATGTTGGAAAATGGGGAGAGTGGAAATGAGGCTTTGCGGGCATGGAAGTCAGTGTGAACCACTGCTGATCCACATGGAGGGGAGCAAGGGAGAGCCAGCCGATATTCACGGGCAGCTCACATGTTCCACTGTTCCATGAGAACAGCTGACATATCATCTAGGAGTGTCCCCGAATCTGGGGCACTGTAGTGGATTTCAAGGGCGCTGCTCCAAGCTCACTATGATTTACTCCTAGGCACCGATGGCTTGAATAAACGCAAAGATTGGGCCACCCATTTGGGTGGTCATAACACCCAAATGGTCAGTCATAACAACAGAGGTTTTGGTAGGCTCACTGTCAGCTTCTTCAAGTCTGGGCTGCTTTTTACCTGCCTACACCTGGACTGGCCTAAGTTAGATCATCTGGGGTGCTTGTCTGGCTGCCCTCTCAGGTGACAGGCACCAACAGGTGAATGCTGGGGCTGGCAGAGTCTCTCACACAGTAGAGAAGAGTTTAGTTTAGTTCCAGGGCAATCCCAGAGCCTGGCAGAGGCTGGGTCCAGTTTTTAGGATGCTGCCAAATCAGCCCAGCCTCAGGCCATGGCTCTCCACTAAAGTGGCCCCAGGACCTGGTCTATGGGACTGAAACAACCGAACCCCTGGGGATGACTGTGGAGCTGCCTGTTGGGGTTCAGGGGCAGGATTGAGCCCATGGGGTGGAAGATGGGCATCCCGCGTACCACAGTGTTTACCCAGCTGCTCTCTCAAGTGACCAGTGCAGGACCCTCGGAGTCCTGCACGTCTCGGATGCCCAGGGGCTGTCACCCGACTCTGCCTTGGGGTGTTGCAGACTCTTCAAGGAACCCGCCTCCGCCCCTCCCAGCCCTTCCAGGAATTGTTTACTTGTTTCAAACAAATCCTGAGTCTCCCCAGCACAGAAGGACACGAAAATCTGGTTTAAGTGATCAATAAGTCAGCCCAACCTATAATTCCTACTTCAAAGATTAGTTTAACACAGGCACTAATTCAGTCGGCCAGCCAGCTGAGCGGCACACCCTTTTCATCTTGTGCCGAACAGAACAATAACAGCGACAGCCATTCTTCTGTCCTCCGCACACCTGAGCTGTTTTGGCCTGTACCTTTCCCACCCTGGCAAATGAACGCAAACACAGCCCCAGGAATACACTGGCCCCCAGACCTGTGCATTGAGGGAAGGTGGCACAGGGACACCAGCTCGGGCATTTGACCCTCTAGTGGTGCGATGAATAGTACCCCATGGGCATGCGCGAGTTGCCTTGGCGTTCAGCATCGGTCCTGATCTCTCTTGATACATCAGCAATTGTTGCAGAATACCACTGTTGTGTTTCCACGCTGCTAACGTGATGCAATGGGCTGTGTTTTGTCTTATCAGTCTCACCCTGAAGCCACGGAGATACTGAGCATCCTCCAAGAAATACATACTTAACAGATACTCTCCTCAAGCAAACAAAAACTCTCTGAAGCTAGCCCTCCAGAAAGGGGTATCTTATTTTGCATTCAGGAAAATAACCCACATTACTTGGCCCCAAAGAGATAGACACCCCCGAGGCCCCGAAGATTGGGGGTGCATTTATTTCCACTCTTGTCCAGGGCTCTGCCTGGGAAAGGCGGGGAGGGGGGCTCCTCACCTGCCCCCCGACCCTCCTTCTCGGGGTGTCACAGCTCCTCTCCGGGGAAGCAAGAGGGGTGAACTCACCTCTGCTCCACTTTCACTCTCCCGGCCCCTCTAGCCGGTCGAGGACGTTCTAACCCAGGGCACGGTCATCGGCAATTCACTGTTTATGGATGTCATAAAACAGACATGCAGAATGAGGACGCTTCCTTTATAACCCAGGAGCACAATAAAGTTATATGATTAACAGTGACCTCGCCCCGCTTCTTAAAGGCACAGGGGCCCTTCGCAGGATCTGTCCCACCAGGAAATCACACAAGTTGACCAGCAGCCAAAGGGACGTCCCTGATGACTTGTGTTGTGACTTTGACTAGTTGCTTCTGCCTCCTGTTAGCCATTCAGATGTAATAAAGAAAGCAAAGTGGACCGAAGACCCGGATGACCACATGGGAAATTTTGGAGAGTTTTGCAACTGTCTTGGCTGAGCTACGTGCGGGATCACCGCAGACTCACCGCACCTCGGGGGCAGGAGCTGGATTGGTTTTTTCCCCTTTCAGTTTTGGAGAGGGGGATTTCATGTTCTGCATGGTTTAATTTGATCTCAGATGTCTGGATACAATTCTTCCTTATGCCTCCCTCTTCCTTAGGTTTAGTTTGCAAGAAATGTACCTCTAAGGTGAACAATCTCGGAGACAGCCAGCAATGCAATTTCCTTTATAGTTTTACAGATGGCAACAACCATCACAATCTTTATGGAGCTCTGTTCCAGGCACTGTCCTAAGTGGTTTGCATATGTTGATCATCTAATCCTCCTAATAACCTGAAGTGGCTGCATGATAGACAGGGAAGGCTGAGTCATGACATGGCCAAACTCATCTTGCCCTCCCTAGTCATGTTCCCAGCTAGGGCTGCAAAATAGGGCAGTGTTGCCCTTATCCATGGCGGGGAAGAGATTCTGCACACGTTCTCCCTCCCTCAGAAACACCCCCGCCATGGTTGATGAGGCGTGGTGTGCTTTTGAGGGAGAAGGACGTGGGCATGATATTCTTGTGAGGATGCCCTCAGAGGAATTT